CTTAAAATATGAACTTCGATTCAAAAATTTGAAAAATGACGTCATCAAGTCGTCGTCAAAACCAGACGATCGAACGAACTTATTATTTTTTTTTAATCCGATTTTTAATAAAAATTTAACAAATATTAATACTTTAAAATACGCTATTTTAAATATTTTCAAGAGAAATAATGAAAAGAAACAATTTAGATAATTAAAAGAAAGCAATGACGTCACGCATTAAAAAAACTAATTTATATAAAGCTAAATAACGATGCATTCAATCTTTATAAGTTTTAAAAATTTAAATATAGTAATAAAATAAGTTCTAACGACACTCGGATTATAATATTAATGAAAGTAGTGATGTGTGATGAAAGATTCGACGTCATTCATTCCGGTTTATATTGTGTGACGTCATGAATTTTAAAAACATTCATTCATAAAGCAGAACATTAAGGAAGAAAATTGAATAATAAATGTATTTTTAGAACAGGCCTTCAGCTTTAAGGCAATATGACGTCACAATTTTACAACTTTTTGAATGATAATTTAACAATTTATTATCTCACGAGTTTATAAGCGATTTTCATCGAAAAAATTTAAATTTTTTTCTCAAATTTGATTGGATAAAAATAAGTTAATATTCAAATTTAAACTAATCATTTTTTATGTAAGATTATGAATCCTTAAGCATTTTTCCTGGAGCGTTTGTGGTTTTTCGAGTGGATATTTTGATATTTTTATTAATCATAAATGATTTAAAAACCTAAAAGTAAATAGATTTTTTTATTAAATTACTTTTTTTAAAAATTAGAATTGATCCGGAGCTCATCTTAAAAGCGCTTTGCATCTTTCAAAGAGCCTTCAGGCCAGATGCGGATCGATTCGATTTGTATTCCAAACTTTTATGAATTTATTTAATATTTTTTATTGTTATTATTAAAAGTAGCAAAAGAACACAGTTTTTAAACATTTTTTTTTATCTAAAATTCTATTTTGAATGGAAGTTTCTGATAGTTTTTTTCTAAGGAAGATGCCAAGAGCCTCCAGTCGAGTTTTGGATTAACTAGACAATTAACGAATTAATTCAATTTTTTAATTAAGTTATTAAAGAAAAGAACAATTTTACGCAATTTTTAATTTAAAGTTTGACGATTTATGTGAGAAAATTTGATATTTTTCTTCAAGTTGGAAAAATCTTCACATGAGGTTTGGTTCAGTGATTTAAATTTTATATAAAATGTTTGAAGAATTGAATAATTTTTTGACTAAATACACGTGTTTATACTATTTTTTACATTATAATTGCATTTTATATGAAAAAATTAACTATTTTTATGAATATTTCTATTTGCAAAGTGAGGATCCAACGAGGACCTTCATAAAAAATGATTATATACGTTTTTATGCAAATAGTTAAATAAATGGAACGTTTTTATTCATTAAAAGCGTGTTAAAATGTTTATTTTTTGTAATTAATTGTCGAGCAACGAAGTTTTATTGAGATAAGTTCGAATGAAGAAGAAGGTTGAACATACAATTTCGTTAGAACGAAGAATAGATTTCATGAATTTTACTAGATTTTTAATTTAATAAACATGACAAATTATTTGTCATTAATTTAAAAATAAGTTTTGCCATTATTTTAATTAAGAAAATTTTTTAAGGCTTATGAAGGTTGAGGTTTTTACTATTCAAATGATCGCTATTTTTTTTTATCCCTCTTTGATTAGAATGAAGAATTTTAAATGTGTATACTTGTATTCTCATCAAAACTTCAAATAAGTTGTAATTTCTTACAAATTCTTGAACAGGAAACAAATTGCACTAATCTTTGCTGATCAAATTTGCGTATATCCTGTATTTTCAAATTATTAATATGAAATTTTGATCTCAAACAAATTTTTCATTTATTTTTGGTCTAATAAGGATATAATTTCTTGATATTATTAAATATTTTTACACACAAAACGCCTCGTAATTTTGCTAAAGATCCATCCACCATGTAAGATCTCGATCTTCAGGTAGATCTTATAATCAGGAAAATCGCCGTAGATTCTATATAAAATATTCCATTTAAGCTACTTTATTGTGAATTGATATATAATTTAATTAAGCATAAAGTTGGTTCCGTGTGAAATGAATAAAAATAATAATAACATTTAAGTGGAATTACTAATAAGGAACCTTGAAATCATACAATAGATTATCAAATTCGCTTATAAAATTGGGTTTTAAGCCTGTTGAATCAATAAAAATAATTCGTTCTAGCCTTTAGATGTATGAAATGTAAAGATTTGAGCAAATTGCATGTGTTTTTCAACTTTAAAATATTTTTAAAATGTTAAAATTTCTACATCATAAGTGGAGAGCGTATAGTTGATAGAAGAACCATTATTTTTAGTGTTATAACGCAAAATATATTTTAAAAATATAAAATAATTTATATACATTATACTTTAATTCATTCTTCTTATTATTATTATTATAATTATTACATATAGCCTATAATAAAAATAAATATATAAATGTAGGCCTATATTTATATATATAAATTGCATTGTAATAAATTCAATTTATAATTTTTGAAAATTCATTCGAAGAAATAATACAAATATAAATATAATTAACTTTAAATATTAATATCTTATTGCTTTATTTATGTTTTAAAAGTTTGATTTAACTCAATTAGCCTAATATTCAACTATAAACATAAACATTCAGTTTTCTTATATTTAAATGCAATTTAAAAAACAAATTTTAATTAAATTGAATTTTCTGAAACTTAATTAAATTTATATCCTGTATTTTTATGTTAGTAAAAGCTTTTAAACAGTTTAAAACTCAAGCAGTTTTATAATTTATATGGATTTTATACAGACTCTGCTATATGCAATCTATGATAAACCATTTTAAAATCATAAAAGAAAATATAAATTAAATGTATTTTAATATAAAATTTTGTAAAAAAAGATCTTTAAAGGAATTAAATTTATTACTAATAAAAACAATATATATATATATACGAGCTATATGAGTTTTTAAGTTCATATATTTTGCTCCTAAAAGCCCTCTTATTGCATAAGGTCATTTCATGTCTTTCTTTTACTAATTTTTAATCTCTTCTAAACCGATTAAAACCTTATATTGTTAAAAAAAAACTATTAAAATATTAATTTTTAATCAATAAGAAATAGACATTTTGTATTCTTCCTATAAGCAAAAGGACAAGAAACAACCTTAGCGGAACCTATTGAATAGGCCTATATCAATTTTTATGAATTTCTTGCCATTTTTTATGCAATTCTTTTAAAATTTCTGTTAAATATAAAGAACTTTTTAATAAAAATATAATTTTCTTTTAAATATTTCACGTATTTTGTTTTAATTTTTAAAAAAACCGCTTGAAGGTATTCCCGCTCTGAGATTACTTTCTATAGAATCGTGAGTTACATAAGTCTTTCTTACATAAGAATTCCTAAATCATATTAAGTTTAAGTGCTATTAAATCTTATTAATTAATCATTTATGGCATGAATTTTTATATTAAACAATTATATAAATCTGAGTGAGAGAAAGAGAGAGAGAGAAAACTTGAATGTAAAATTTCACAGTTTTACTCCTGAAAAATACAAATTAATGTTAAATTTAAGCTTAAAATTATTATTAGAGCTTAATTAGTCTTCTAAATGTTTAAATTACAAATTAGTGATTTCTTTTATGAGGCGCATTTCATGATATTGCATTTATAATTTTTTATCAAAATGAAAAAAAAAAAAAACTTTAATTTTGGCTACTATTTGATTTTTTCAATTTTTAAGTCCAAAATCTCATCCCAAACCAGTAATTTATATAAAAATTTCCTGTTTAAAGCAAAATAAAAGTATTATGTCTGGCTTTTAAATAAAACTAATTAATACTTTCTCATGAAAAAATTAATTTTTTAAGTGTTTTTCTAGAAAGGTCAATCTAAAAATGCATTAACTTTTAATCAAAAACAACGAATTCGAGCTTAAATTAATGACGAGTTATGAGTCGATAAAGGAACGAATATGTCAATAAAATTATGTTTAAATTTAACAAAAACTTTTCTAAAATCTTTTAAATTAATTAATAAAATTATTAACATAAGATTTACTTTATTAATAACTTTACTAAACAGTTTTACTTCCATATAATTTACTTAGAAAGAAGCATTAAATTTTCGCCGCTCCCATTTTTTTAATGACATTATAAAATAATTTACGCGTCATTTTTTGGCATTTATTATTTAAATAAATAAATAATAGTTAAATGAGTTTAAATTATCTTTTTTAAACGTTTACACTAACGAATTAATCGATGGCAAAGTACTTTTATACGGTCATTTTATACACAAATTAAAAAATATATATGCACTTTAATTTCGTTTAAGGCTCAGAAATAAATTGATTAATTTAAAAAGTCGCTAATTAATTATTTATTTATTCTTTAAATACGATATTTGTTAAGAAATTTAACTTATAACGGCGTCTCGATGCTTATTGGTCAATGTCGATTCATTCTATCGCCTGATTGGTCATAACCGAACATTTAAGACGACGTCATTATCGGTTGGCAGACGAACAAGACAGATGATCCGTTCGACGACACCTGGATTATTTTCATTTTTTCGATTTAAAAAGGCTTTTTTAAAAAAATTCAAAAAATTAATTTATATATATATATCTTATCATAATATATATATTATTATAAGAAAGGAAAAAAGAAATTTATTGATAATATTGGTAAGTTTAAAAACGGAGACGGTTATTCATTTTCAATAGATATTTATTATTTACGTAATTTGGGCTATAAAAATTATAATTAAATTGTGTCATTTGGTGTTTTTTTAAAAATTTGAATTTGTTCGTCTGTAGAATTAAATTTTGTTGTTATTTTTTTTAATTTTAAATGCTTTTACGTGTTTTTAATGATTGAAATTATGAAAATGTTGATTAAATATTTGTTATTTAATGCATTTTTTCCCCTTATTTTAGATGAATTAAGCGAAGTAGGCCGCTTAGAAGTTCTGATTGTGTAGATTAAGAAGTGGAATGAGTGAAGAAGAATGTGGAGAGGAGAACAGGTGAATGGATTTTTTAAGTTATTTTACCGAAAATACGATCGCAAATTGATCACATTTAAAGGTAAATACGTTTTTATACACACATCTTCGTGTTTATCAGTAGGTCAAAGCTCTACAGAGCTACTATAATTAACTATGGCATAATGAAAATTTATTGACATTTTTCACATATATAAGGCATTTATACACTAATTTACATCTTTGGCGGCTTAAAAATGCAAATTTTTAATCAAAAATACAGTAATACACTTCAAGGAAGTCACTTATAAAACAACAATGGTAACACTGAAAATAAATTAGTCTATTGAGGTTTATCACACATTTATGCTTCATATGTGTTATTTTATGGTGTTGACATCTTAAAAGTTTAATATTTTTATAAGAAAATGCACAAATTCATCTCTAGTAAATCGCATAGGAGCCAAAAATAATAGTATTGAATATATGGGAATTTCTTGAAAATTTTCGCATATTTAGAGCCTTTCCACACTAATTTATAATTTTAACACTTTAAATCGTAAAAATATAATAAAAAATGTACTAATTTGTTTCAAGAAAGTTATTTATAAAGCTACAATATACAAATCTGTTTCCCATTTAGTAGGAAAAAATCTATCCATTTTTTGATTGAAAATGGAATTATTCCTCTATACTTAAGGTTTAATTATATATTTGTTAATTATTTATTACTCTTTTTGTTAAAACACTGATAAAATTAGTCGTTGTATGCAGCTTTCTTATGTGGTTGCAATGCTACTATAAACTGGCACTGATGTCCGCATAAGAATCTGTATTACATATCTTTGTAAGTATGTAATTTAAAAGATCATATTCGGCTTGGAAATCGTAAACATTTTAAAAAACAGTAATGTGTTTTTTAAAATTCACATTTTAGCTTGGATTAAGCACAGATTAACGTTATTTAGGCCTAAATTTTGATTACTAGTCAAATTGATAACGAGATTAAAGGATTTTTGCTTATTAATTTCTTTCAAAACCGACTTCCGGTGTTATAAAGAGCCTGGGTCTTCTTTTATAATGAAAATTCTCATATAATACAAATAATTATTAATAATTAATTAGAATTAAATACCCCTTTAAGAACATTCTTTTCTCTTCCTTTCTTAGACATTTAAAGGCATAATTAAGCACAATTTAAGCATAATAAAGCAATTTAACATTAAAAATTGGAAGAAAAATTCGCATTTTCTGATTATTTAGACTTACATAGAGAGAAATCTAAAGGTTTAGTTTTAAAACAGTTAAATATATTCAAAAAGTGTTAAGAATTTCACTTAATTAAGCTATTAATATACAAATTTTAGTTGTTAAACTAGCGATCTTTGCTAAGAGGTAAAAAAATATAGAGTAAAATCGCTGTATATACGTTTTATTGAGATTTTTAATAAGTACAATTATGTAAATTTATGTTTAACCAGGTTCAGATGGAAAGGTGCTATTTGGCTAGGTCTCAACACAGAATAGCACCCAAGTTTAATATTTTAATTATATATTTTTCTGGCTTTCGGAAAGAAGGAGGGCCTATGTATAATTGAACATACCGTACCTCGTTTAGGCCATATCTTTAACACATTTCTGTGACTTTCTTTACTACATTATAGTATACAAAACTATGTATCATTTAATATAAATCGAATGACGTAATTTACTCCTACTTACATGGTATCTTACATCATTTATACTACATTTATTCACGTATCTAGGTGTAAAAATTATATTCTTAGAGGCTGGAATCACGAATTTTGACGCACCAAAATGGAATTCTTGATAAACTGCTTTAATATTTTACTTATTTTTTTTTATACCCAAAACATCGTACGTTATGACTCGTCTACTACCCACTTATAACCTGTTTAAAGCTTTCTAATCGCTCTCCATTATCTTTTGTTGAATTAGCTTTGTGTGACTCACCTAAAAAAACTGGAGTTTATGTAACAAATAAATTGCAATTTTTGTTATTTCACAATAAAAACTACAAGTTTAATCAATATTTACAGTTTTTTTTTTGTTTTTTTACTCGTTATAACCCAGTGTAATCGAGTTTAAACGCATATTTACTTAGAAAATACATGGAATTTTAGGATATTCATATATTCTACACGTTTAGTTAGGTGTAATTTAGCTCAAAATATTATTTCAGATGGGAAAGTACAGTACGTGTTTTTCCATACAGTTAGTGGGTGCGATCGTCGCTCACTCTTCCATTTTGTTTTCTCTCTACTGCTATGGTGACTCGAAAGTATTAAAAAATTTAAAAACGATTATTCAGCAGCCTTCTATACTTTAAACGCACGATACATTTACATGTTCTGTATTGTGTATACTATAACATAATTGCTACTTGGCACGATTCTCTCTTGGTTTATATTGACCGTTTTATGGGTTATGTACCCCTTCATAAACAATTATCAGTTATTATTTACTCGAATTCTATAGACAAAATACATGCATTAAGTGTAGTACATTGTATTATGCCACCATATTGAATAATCTATTAATCAATCTAGTTTTCGTGGAAGAGATTACACTTTAGTTTTTTTTTCCTGAAAGTGTATTGCATTACTAGTAAAAATGTGCAAGTGTACAAGTGATTTTTTAGTCTCTGAAAGTCTATATTTTTATCAAAACTGGCATGTTTTAGTACAGTTATTATGTTGTTTAACTTGTTAAATGAGTCTAATTTTATTTCCTGGTTCAATATTTCAATATATGGGCCTTATATATTAGATTACCTTTAGCAAAGGCCCTATTTTATGGAACAACCGTGCTTCTAGTTCACTTTATGCAAGTTCGAACTGGGAATTTGCAGTTTTACACTGCATAAATTTGATTTGTATACCCAAAATTGACTTATATGGGGCCATAAAACACTAAATTTAAGGTAGATAACGTAACACTTTATTTTAGGAGAGTTAAATTTCAGCAATACAGCTTTTTCACGTGATAGTATAGTGACCTTGATAATTATTTTCTTTAATTTTTGAACTTTCACCCCTTTAGGTATATTCGAACCTCCTTTTAATTGATTCTTAACCTCCACAAATGAAATCATATGTATTAATATTAAAATTGTATGCCATTTATATAACACTAATTACATTTTATTTATGTTAATTACGTTACTTTGCGTTATATCAAGAATAAAATGTGAACTTTGAACTTTAATATATATTTAGTTAATTTACAACCTACGCATTTTTTTCTCTCCTTTTGTCATTTTCCTCATAAACTTTATATTCGAAATTTCATTATAAATAAGTGACATTTAACAACCCAGACTCTGATACGAGAACTAAATTAAGCTTCTAATTTAATTTTTTTACTAATTAATGATTAATTTATGAGTTAATTTATGTAGAAAAACATATTAGTAATGTTGTTTTAACATTTTTTATGCGTAAATTGCAGTTTAAATTACGAGTTTGATCGTACAAACGCATCCTTTTTACGCACTTTCTAGTTGATAGCTTGTCACCACCACCTTTAACAGATTTATGCTACCTTCTATAGCGCTTACACTTAATGGAGTTAATCTTAAGCACAATTAAACCATAAAACAAATCATTTGATTTGATTTTCTCGATATATTACTACTCTACACTTGTGTATTTTCAGAACAAATCGTCGTTCATACACGCTGTTTCGGACTCACCTCTACGGTTTTTATGTCAATAAATTACTCAAAATGTATATATTATCTTAAACGTAATCTATTATTCTCGTTAATATCACTAATTGATTGTTAATTGGCCCAAATTTTGTTACTGTAACAGCAACACTACTACTGGCGAACCGATGCAATCCTCTTCTAGAATTAGTCGAAATTTTCCATATTAACACGCAATTAAGCGTATTTTAACAGGAATTGTTTCGATTTTTATTGTCTTAGCTACAGTTTAATGCTACTTTAGTAACAAAAACACCTCCGGAAACTATGCTGAATTAATGTAATTTAAATATAGGCCTGTAAGATGATAAGATATTCCAATTTGTTTTACGACTTCCTATAGGACTTTGTCGATTCTTTTGTCTTGCCGACATGCTTTTATGCTATTAACTTATGTTATAATTATCTATATGATGCTACTATTGTAATAAATGAATCATTAATTAATTACAACGGGCACAATTTATAATATTTATTAATTAATTAATGCTACTAAATACTTACACTTATAGTGCTTTTCTTGAGATAGTAGTACAGTGGGACACGTAGAAATTACGTTTTTATAGATGTTTCAAACCTTTTTTGTGGGATCTTTTTATAATTTATAGCAATTTTCCTCATGCGGATTTAACATGGTTTTTATGGAGGTTTACGTGTTTCTCTGAGGTTTTTATACGCGTTTTTTTAAAGGTTTTTATTCATTTTTAGGAGATTAACACGCTCTTGTTAGGTATCTATATAATTTTTTAAAATCTTTAAAATCTTTTACGTTATTGTGACAAATTTATGTGGTTTTTAAGATGTTTTTGACGGTTTAGTAAGGGATTTTATATATTATTATGAAATTGTATGTTTTTTTTATAATGTTTCTGAATGATTTTGTGAGAATTTTACCCTTTTTTATGACGATTTTACTCACGTTTACGCGTTTTAAAGTCTTTTTACGCCCTTTTCTGTTTCATGCAACTTTGCGGTTTCTATATTTATTTGTAAGGATTTTAAGAGGTTTTTTACATAGTTTTATAATGATTTTGTTAAATTTGTACAGTGATTTTTTAGTACATATTTAGTTTTTACATTCTTATCGAAAATTCTTACGCATTATTTAAGGGTTTTAATATACTTATCCCACATTATCTAAGGGTTTATACACACACACGAGAGAGAGAGAGAGAGAGAGAAAACCAGCGATTATTTTTAAATTAACTTTACCAAATATAGACGTAAAATTAATTTTAAAATCACTGTTCCATTTTAAGAGTCGGGAGGGGAGTCATTTTTTTTTAATTCAATGTTTTTTTTTTTTTCTTGTTTTTGTAAAATTTCAGCGGTTACTTAGTAGTAATTAGATATTCTCTCACGGTTTGTTTCTGTTCTACTTACATTGTTTCATCCGAATGTAGCAGGAGTGTTAATCTTAACTGCGGTGTTAAAAATAAACTTTAGATTTAAATGGATGTGTGATTCATTCACCCGAAAACATGTACTTCATGTGTTGATTCATTCGTGTTTGTTAGAGAATGAGACGTTTGAAGAACGTCTGCACTTGAAATGGCTCTGGCTTCGTGCCCTACGTTGACATTCATTCAAAAACTTCGCTCTGATTGTGTCATGTAACAAAAAAGTAATGAGTTGAGAACTTATTCGGGTCTCTTTTTTGCTTTCTTATCTTAATTTTTGTTTACTTTTTGCTTTACTTTTGCAGTTTCTAAGCCCATAAAAGGTCTAAAAACGAACTGACCTTTAACATTTTCTATGGTTAAAGGTCAGTTTAAGTATATTATCAGTTAATATGAGTTCTTAACATATCATACAGAGATCTTTCCCGGATACTTACAGAAAGAATTCTATGAAGAGAACCTACAACAAGAGATCTAGGAATCTTTCAGTGTCTAAAGAGTAGGCTAATCTATAAAAGGACTTAATATAATGTGCTTCATAGGAAGTACAGCATTAAGAACTCTTAAGTTCCTAACTCGAGACCTACGTTAAGAACTTCTTACTTTCGATTGAGGTCTCGAATCACTTATAATTTCCTTTTGAATGCTGTAGGTTCCTTAAAACACTTTGTATTAGGTCCTTTTACAGAAAAGCCTACTGTTTAGACCCACTGAATGGTTATTTATTATAGGTCCTTTGTCTTGTTGTATGGTCCTTAGAACACTTTCTGTAGGTGTCATGAGAGATCTATTGCTGTAGATCCCTTGGTTTCTTCTTGCTGTAGGTCGTTTCAGAGGCCTCTTATTGCAATAGTTTCCTTCAAAGATTTGTTACTGTAGGTTCCTTCAGAGATTGTACATTTCCTCATAGATCTGTTATTGTACTTTGCATATAGAGCCCTTCTGAAGATCTTCCTATTATAGATCAACAATAAAGGTTTCCTAGACATTTCGGGGCAATTACGAGTTTGTATAAACCAACCATTACTGTTAAAGTCTCATTAGCTTCCTGTAGACTTCCTTTGAAAGTTTACACTCCGTTCACTCTATATATAAACCTAATAATAATAAATTCTTTACGCAAGTTTCCAAGAACCTCTCAGAAGATCTTCGATTTAACGTGACTCATAAACCATAAACTCACTTTAAAACATCTCTTCCTAATCTTCCTCAATCCTTCCTCGTTAATTTTTTGGAGGATCCAAGTGATGGAAGGTGATTTTTTCATTTAAATATTGATTTTAAACACGAAAATATCAAATAAATTTGGGTTTTCTTTGGAGTGGTGAGTCACAAATGTAAGTTATGACACATCTCGCTTCCTCGAATCGTTGGCTGTCGTTCTCCCTCTTCTAGGAACCAACTAGTTAGGCATAAAATAACAAATGTAAGTGGAATTCGATCCCGGTTTCTTTTTATATTAAGCTTTTTCCAGCCTGCTGGGCGCTCCTCGCAGGTGAATAGTCTCTTCTGTGTTTAAAATTGGTCTCTAGAACTCTTCTAGTTGTGATGATTCTTTTTTTAAAAGAATCGCTTCTAAACCCTTCCTAGTCGCTGCTTTAAATGAAATATTTACTTCTAAAATCCCTTCAGTTGTAATATTTTTAGAAAATTTTACTTGAAGCCCTTCTTATCTCCTGTTTTATTAAATCAAATATTGGCCCCTGAAACCTTTAGTCATGATTTTTTTAGGAAATTGTTCTTCCTAGTTGCTGCTTTTTACTGAAATAGTCGCTTCTAAATCCTTCCAGTTGTAGTATTTTTGGAAAATTTCAGTTGAAACCCTTTTGGTTTTTAAAATTAAATGCTGGCTATTTAACCCTTCCAGCCACTTTTTAGAAAATTTGGCTTCTGAACCGTTCCTAGTTGCTGTTTTTAAATGAAATACTTACTTTTAAACCCGTCTAATTAAATTATTTTCTGAATACTTCACTTGAAACCTTTCTTGTCCATAGTTTTTTAATTAAAACTGGCTTCTGAACCCTTCCAATTATAATATATATATATATAAATTTTTTAAAGTGTTCCCGGAGTAGTTGCTAAGCAACAGGAAACGGGCGATTTTGCCCAAACCATTCGGTGTGAGGGGGGTTTCCGCGCCATCCGACGCGATACAATACTAGAAAAATGGCGCGCGGGGGTGTTGTAGAGCAGCGCGGAGTTGGCGCGTAACTCGCGAAGTTCGTTCGCTCGTTACGCGCGTAACTTTTGAGTAACTTGTTTATATTTTCAGTGGAAATTGCCTGGTCCGTGTCCGCGCCCAGGTCATGACCAGGGATGACTCGACTGGAGGTTGGGTTCCAATGGGCGGAGGCGGATTAAGTTTCGTATCCGTCCGCAAGAGGCAAGTACCAAACGACGAAGATGCCAAGCACGAGTATCTGATCTATGGCAAGAGGATAACGGATCAAACGGTGAGTTTTTCACCCTTTCTGTGTTCTCTTCTCTAGCTCTAGAAGGTGGGGGTGGATTTAGAAATTCGTCCACCACTCGCACACATCCGGAAGTGTCGGATGTAGTAAACAATAGCGATAGTATCCGGCCAATAAACACGCCATCTCCGTTTTCCTGTTCCTCTTTTCATTCATGGTGTTTTCATTGATCGTTGCCTTTCCCTCTATTGCTGTATTTTTCCTTCTCCTGTTCCCTCTGCCAATCCATTTCTCCTCTCTCTCTCTCTCTCGTTCCTCTCTCCCTTCTCTCTCCAAAAATCTTCCAGTTTGCTTTATGTATATTTATATATTTTTCCACAAATTGGCACCTTTAATAAACTCGGAATGTTGTCGTATCGTACCTTTCTGCATCTCTCGACCGGCTTTTTTTCCCCTCCCTTGCTTCTCTCTTTTTTATGCGGTTATGTGAAACCTGTACTAAGATCATTCAGCTGGCGTTTCTTTTCACTCGTTCCTTTTTTTTCTGTTCCGCATCGGATGTGGGAGCTGTGCCAAGGTTTTCGCGGGACGATTTGGAGAGATAGGTGGGGGTGAGGTCGTTGACATCGCCGCGTTTGAAAATATGTACTCCTCCTCCGTCTCCGTCCTATTTGAGGTGTGGTCGGCTTTAACGTGCTGGCTCCCTTCCTCTCTTTTTTTTCATATTGGAGACTCACAATGTCATCTTCAGTTTCTTCGTCAATTTACTCCAAAGAGTGGTGACTTCTAGAGAAGAGGAAAAAATCAATATTCTTACATACGTTGAAAGTGCACTATTCTTTATTTTCCTTCTTATCCTTTGATTTGAATTACATAATATCTATGCTTAATTAGCCAGGTTATAGTGCTATAATATATCCAATATTATCTGTTGATTATTAATTGATAATCCAGACTTGGTTTACTATACGACTTTCTTACCCTTGTTTATTTGAGTAATATCATAAACAAACAGGGCTAACGTGAAAAATAGTGAAAATTCATGCATGTGTAAGCTATTTGAATCTGCATTACTCCATTACCTACTGCCTGTGCCAAGCAAGTTGTTGGTTAAGTGTGTTATATTTATAATAAATTGCATTTGACTAGTAATTTAAGTCCCAAGTATAAAGTATATCTATAAAATCAGTATAACATTTGTCATGTGATAGAATCGTGCATACATTAGTCAACAAAGGCAATGACTAGCAAAGCTCTTAACTCTTTCTTTAGCAAAGAATAGCGAGACTAGAATACTTAACCAACCCTGCTTAAAATAATTGCGTTAATTGTTGCCACGATCGTAATTAGGGCAAAAGTGGCATTGTCCATAGATGCGTTCAGAAAATTAGGAAGGAAAAAAACCGAACACCATAATATCTTTGAAACAGAATTGAATGGAATCTTTTACTTCGGTGGCAGGTGCCAAATGAACCAGTTGGCTTTTGAATGCTTCTTTGTCGATTGTTTCGAAGGCTATTGGCAACATAGAAGAATTCTTATCTCGGTTGCGAATGTGAGTGGAGTCTGCCATTGACACTTAATTCACATTTCTGTAGATAGTAATTCTCCCACCCCCTCCCTAGTAAAATAAACATCTAATGAAGACAGAAGATACTAGATTATACCATTATCATCCAGTTAATGTGGCAAAATTTTTCTGCTATTGAAAATATTTTTAAAGCATGGCATAACTCGACTATTTTAACATGAATTTTGTGACAGTCAAGCGATAAATTTATATTTATAAAGTTTATATTTGTAAGATGATGATGGAGATTAACCGAAGCTTGCGTTACGTTATCATTTGTTTACAGTTATTAATCTCATTTAAATAGTTGCACAGTTGCATAAAAAGCATCCGTATGGATGCATCTAATATCTATAAAGTTGCAAAATTCTTCTGATTATGTAATTTAATTTTGGGCAAAGTGAGAACAAATTACTTTAACATCAAAGTTCTATTAAAAAAATAATGGAACAGAATAAAGTTTAAATGAATTCCTTAGACATTATTGTTCCAAAATAAAGTTTTTATTTGCGCAATAAGCAGATTTTTGTGACTATATCCCATTTATCTTTACATTTTATGATTAACTATTCTTAACATTTACCTTTATTTGATAGAGATGGATCTACAGCAACAAACAAACACCCCAAAACATCAATTGTAATCTGCATAAGTGATACATTCTCATTAGGGAGAAGACTGAGAAGTATTGAATTCTTCAATAGTGTATTACTAGAGTCAATGTTTCCTCTAATTTGGGAAGCATTTGTGCAAGTCATATTGACTTTGGAGCAGAAATCAGATTGTCTTGTGTCTCAAGCAACCCGACTGCCACTCGGACTGAGTTAAATAATCGGTGTGTAGTCACGCAGCTTAGAAAGACCATTAATAAAGAAAAAACTGGTGTTTATTACAACTTAAGATTATAGTCACCACTCCACTCTTAAAAATTGCTGTACAATTGGAGGGACTATGAATACATAACTCTTTGATTCTACTCTGAAAGCAAGTCACTCTGTTACTATATTTGTGAATGTAATCTGTTATTTTATATCTGGTCTTTGTCATTGTTTTCAGTTGTAGGTTTTGTCACAACTGCCCACCCTTTCTGCTGTCTTGCTCACCTACAATGTCTCCCAAGCTTTCATATGTTCTTGGCTATCTTTTACATCCTGCTCGGCACCAGAATCTTCTTGGATGCTACTTTAAAAAAAGATAAAGATTCGGATCTGTGTTGATCTATTATTGAGAGTGATTCAAGCCAATTCTGTAATTCTTGAGCATCAAGCAAGGAAGTTCTTATAAACTTTTTGAAGTATTTTGCAAAATGGATATATATGTAAAGAAATTATGTTCAAAATGTTACTCTATAATAATCTTAAATCTATAGATGATGATAATTATTTCCTTGTTTATGAGGAAAAGTGGTATTGATTTTTAGAGATTTAAACAGAGGAAGTCTTTGGATATAAATAGTAATATAGTAAAGCAGAATTTATAGGTTATCTGTCAAGTCAATCCATTAAATCTACAGTAATATGCAATTTTACATGTAGAAGTCTCAATTACCCATATTTTTGTTAGCATAGACCAAGCATGGTCAACATACGGCCCGTCTAATGAATTTATGTGGCCCGTGATTAATCTTTCAATATTAGCTACTCAAGTCCGAATAGCTCAACGAAAAATTCTGATGCTTAAAAATAAAAAGAAAAAAAAGGTCAACAACTCACTGTGCGTTTAGAGTTAACGCTCCATTAGAAATGTCTTAAGCACAGCGTAGAATGTTGATAATGCATGATAATGTGAAAAATGTATCTGTGATCTCTATGTACAGTTTAGTCTCTATGGGGTGACACCACAATGAGATCTCGCACAACCTGAAAATCTTCCTAGGCAGCCTCTGGTTTGGCCCGTGAGAAAAGTTTCTTTCCAATTCGGCTCAGGGCAAAAACTGTTGGCCACCCCTGGCATAGACCATCAGCTGTTGATGCATTCTGCATAAAGGAAACTTGCAGTTTAGTATTTTATGCTCATATTGGTACATCCTACTAGACAGTATCCCTCATAGATAGTGTGCAGAAATGTTTTCTTATCGCCTTTATTTGCATTGTGTAAGCTACGGAGTTGTAAAATCCATATAAACAAAGTTTTTTGGATCTCCCAGTTGGTGTAAATTTGATATGACCTCTTCAAAATCCATATTTAACGCATGACAGTTCATTTTAGGATCTCACAAAAGAGGAAATTTCTGAACTTTACCTTATAACAGTATCAGATATTTTTTCAATCTTCGATTGTCATAACATACGATATCCAGGATAAGTGGGGAAAAATTTAAATTGCTATGGAATTTAGCGGTGGATAGAGATTACTTCAGTGTGCACAGCAATACTGACTATTTTAAATCCAGTAGGCAATGCCAATTTAAAAGAAATTTGTCTACTTTTCACTTAAATAATCATTAAAATTTGTGTTAAATGACATTTCTTCTCGTATCTTTACAGAAATACATCTGAAATTCTATTCACTTGTGATTCTAGTTGAGTCTAATAATAAAGACACTATCATAACATTTTTGTACATAAATTAAGGTCTTTTTAGTATAAAAAATTGCATTAATGTGTGTAAAGTGAATTGCTAAACATGTGGTCAACTATAGGAAATGCTTAATACTTGAAAATTTAGACAATTGGAGAACATTTTGCAGTAGAATGAAGTTAGTTCCTTTTATTTGGCCAAATTTCTTAGTCAAAATGGTTTACAATATCAAATTGACATCTATTAGAGGTCAATCTACTTATTTTTGAGATGTCGAAGGGTGTATTAAAATACTATTTTCTTGGGTAATATCTTTAACTGGTGTTTTACGTTAGCTTAAACAATTATTACTATCTCACTTTATGACATTCATTTCATGACGTATAAATTTTCTGTTTTAACTGAAATTCCTTATTTTTTGAATGCCATACTACATTAAAGCTGTAGTTATAGGAATGTAACTTCAGTTTGTGATACTGGTCTACAGAAAGTATCAAGTAGGGTCAAGATACAAGCTTGAGTTGTAGTTTGATTCTGATCATGAAAATCAATAGAAGAAAGTAAACAAATGGGACTTCAGCTTTAACATAAGAGAAATCAAATGATTATAGCAGATGATGACAGACAAATGCATGCCACCATCAGCGGTGAGGACATTGAGTAAAGCTTGATCTACAGCACTCGATCTGCAGCTTCTTCAGTTCTTTTCCCAAATTGTAGCTTTTCAAGCTGTAGTCAAGCTCAGCTCCTTTTTCTTCTTGTATCTTCATTTTTCATTCAAGCAGGAGATCTTCATCTTTCACCTGTTTTGTCTTCTTATAGCTCTTCTTTAATTCGTTCAGCTTCTCGTAGCTCTTCCAGCATCATTGTACTATTTAAGAGAAATTTAATAAACAAAAGATGCTAATTACAAGTTTAGTAATTGATGGACACTCCAAGCACATTAAATTTTACATTGGAATCTGTCTGTTTAAAAAGAACTTTTAAAATTTTCTTGATTCCAAATCACTGCAGTTCTCAAAGAAAAGATTTAGTTGTGTCAAGTACATAAAGAGAAAATTAAATCTTATCTTACTGTTTGTATTATAAGCTCTTATCTACTTAAACAAATAATAAACTTTTAATATCCTTTGAGGTAGCGCTTATAACCCAAACTATAGATAAAAAAACAATAGAATTTACAATATTTTATAATTTTATCTGTCCTCATTGCATGTGTGTATATATATATGTATATAATGTACATACACGCACGTAATATATTAATTTATTAGAAATTCTTTCCGTAACTCATTACCGGCTTATCAATATTTGTGTTTCCTTCCGCACCAGAACGGTTTGTAACGATTGCTATCTTCCTTTCCGATTACTTTCATATCTGTTTAGTAATATTTTCTACATCGAATGTTTATTCTATAATTTATCATTAACAATAGTGTATTTTCATGAATTTTGGTGATGTAAGAAGATTAATGTTACATTTTCTTTACTTTTTGTTGCAGTATCTTAACATTTTTGAGTGTGGTGATGACTTCTTTGCCTTGCATTCCCATGTTTGCTTAAGAAGAGATTGTGCTTGGTAGTTTGAACTTGAACTCCTCTTCTTATCTTTTGGCGAGTTTGTTTTCTGTCTGTCTCGCATCCGATGCAGGAGTAGATAGAGATAAATGTGTATTTTGTGAAGGAAATGCATAAATTTTTCCTAATTTATGTGAAAATGGAGAAAATCAAGATTTGGATTTGTCATTAGCACAAGTTGAAATTAAATTGTTTGTATCTAATGATCTGTTGCATCGACTTATGCATTGTACAGGTTAAGACACCATTGAAATGCACTCACCATTCACTGCTCATAACTTATTCTATTACAAATATCCTTTTCCTTACCTGAATATAATATACATGTCATTTGATGTCAGTGTTTTCTGTAGCACTTGCTTTCATATTATTTCCTACTATTCGTTTCCTTGTCTGTTCAGGTCCATCTCTACGACAATTTTCCTTAATTATCCTATAAGGATACTTCTCTATTGTTGTCGCTCTACTTCTACTCGAATCCATTCGTGATGTAATGCTCTAGTTTTATTCAAATGATGAATTATTGAGACGTTACATCTGAATAAACAAGAATTATATACATATAATTTTATTATTATAATTCATTTTAAATTGACCAAGACTGCATAGTCTCAAAGCATTTTGACTTACAACAAGGTAAATCAATGCATATTAGTCTCAAGTACTGGCAATTCTTACTATGCAGAAAGAATCGTATGGGCTTTAAGGCTCTGAAAAGAAGTCCATGTGGCCAAAAAATCATAATTAGCACTTTATTTTGATACGTAGAAGTTAGGAATTGTAGTTTTAAAGTTAACCAGGGTTGCATTTTCTCAAATACAGTGGCATTTACGAACATTGTAGTCTTTAACTGATTGTAGTGTTAATTTTGATCTAAAATATTGCATTTTTTTAAGGCAGGTTTAACCAATTGCCTATTTAATTGTCAAGATCGAAAGTGGCAATTGGTAGCAGTAGCCATTGATATTCGACATTGCTTTAATTTTGCCACCTTACACCTTTTACTTTTTCATAAATTTGACTGCTAATGCATAGTTTTTGACAGTTTTGTAAAGATGAGTCTATATTAATGTAGAGTGTTCTTTGCAGCCCATAATTTGTCAATAAGCTATGAAACTGTTAAATAAGGCATTTACTTTTTTAGTTTACCAAGCATGTGTGTGTGTGTGAAGAATAATGCTTTTGTATAATGAATTTATGTTAAAGCAGAAACATGGAGAGCTTTGAAAATGCAAATTAAATGCCATAGTGAGAGCTGCTTTGAAAACATGCACTTCAATTTCAGTTAGAATGTATCTGTTTTACATATTAAATACAATAAAGCAATAGAATTTCTGTAACAGAAGCCATTTGGTATGAAAAATAGACTAATGTACAGAAAAATTAAACACCAAAGTAATATTTAAGTTATAGTTTTTAACGATATGCAACAGTTTTGTTTCTAATAATAGGCTACTTGATAGAATTTAGTTATTTAATTAACAGTGTAGGTCTGTCAGTAAAATGTGTTGTCATGTGAATGTGAGATGTGCAAGTTCTTGCTTATAAATAACTGTGGTTTTGCATCTATATAGTCATGTTTGGTCACAAAGAAATAAATAAACCAATTATTTTGCTAAAGTATTGTTTACCGGAAGAATTAGATCTCTTGGGTGTAATTAATGGCAATGAAATTGTTTTGAAACCTCTGGGACTGCCACGTCTCAGATATTTTTACTACACATCTTAATTTAACTTATCTTTGCTGCCCGTTATCATTATTTTCTATTAAAAAATGTTCAGAGTATATGCTTAAAACATGTTTGGTTGCTAAAAATTAATGTTTACCATTTTAATGCCATTTTTGCATGCAAATATTGTCTTATTGTAAGTCTAATTTTTATATATTTTAATAAACTTTAATTAACTACTACTACAGGTTGTCTTAAGCTGTACGATTAAAAAGGATTTCCAGTATAATAAAGTCATGCCTACTTTTCATCATTGGCGTACCGGAGACAAAAAGTTCGGTCTGACTTTTCAGACGGCTGCGGATGCACGTGCCTTTGACAAAGGAGTCAAGATAGCTGTGGAGGATTTACTAGATGGTGAGTAGTCTCTAACAAGTTTGTATTACCTTAACCATTTACTTCTAACATTATCTTGCATGTTATAACGCTGTATTTAATCATTGGGGTTTTTATATATATATGAATATATATATATGCTTATAAAGCAATGACATTGATATGAACAAAACAGAGAGATTGTATCATTGTTGGTTTATCTTACAACAGATGTAATAATTACATGCCGTAATAATGACCTATGGATTTGCTTCCGTGCAGAAATTTTGCCATTGCAATGATGGAAGATGTGGGTTTGAACTTGATCCAGAACCCAATAATGGGCAGTGTAGGTTGAAAAACATGATTTCACATCTCTCTTATGTGCTAGTAGATCCAAATGTAGCTCAGCCTGTTTGTAGTGGATATAATTATGACTGGTTCTGTATAATAGAGTACAGTACTGAATAATTATTCTGTTTCCCTTCTAAATTAGATATATATTTGGGACACACAAAAGTGTGTAATGCTATTATCTTACACATCTAATACATGGAATTTAGATTTTGTGAAATGGAAAAGAGAATTGTCTGTTCTCATTACCATTATTCTCTATATTTCAAATGGAACAAACAGAAATTTACATGCACTTGCAATACTAGTATTTGAGATCAAGTCTGCAACTAACACAGTAAACTTCAGAATTGGAAACTTAAGAGTGTCATAGTTTCTTCCACTTTACTTTTGCTAATAGAAATGTTTCACACATAATGGCAAAGTGTTTCACACTTTACTTTTATGCTAAAGTGTTTCACACTAAGCCATTTTAATTTTATTTTCTCTCCTTTCTCCCATTCTTGCAAAGCAGTTTCACTTTATCCTCATGTTGATTTGAATTTTGTAACACAATCTACTATATAAGCTTAATTAATTAATTAACACATCTCTTCTATAAAAATTCATTTTTATTCGAAGATTTCTTTCATTTCTTCAAAGCACATCCTACAATCTAACAGAAGTGGAGAAATGAATGTTTAAAATTGATGACAGTGTAGTAAGATTCAACTTTTTTCCACTTACAGATTGAAAAAAAAAGGATATAAACAAGTTTTAGTGACAAATCATGCATTTTTGAGAATGAATATACTACTAAAAGTATTTGGTTTCATTTTAATGGGGAGAGTTGATGACAGGAAGGACATCTGGCCTTTCCTTTCACCACCCTCTCTTCTAATTAAGATTTGGCAACAGCCTGATCCATTAGACTCTAGGTGGGGTTAGACAACAACACCTGGCAATTCTATATAGCCTTTGACAAAACTCCAGTCGGAGACAAACTGAATTGTGTTTCTCACTCAAGTTTTGATCCAACAAGAATTTTGTTTAGTGAAAATTAGACATGATCCCTAATTCTTATACAAACAAATATAAGTTTTCCATGAAAACAGGTCTCTAATGTTAGTAGAAGTTATCCACATCTTTCTATCCTCTACTTTCCACACACCTTAATTTTCCCCTAAAATTTTTTATGCAACACCCGAAAATAAATTCTAATATCCAGACTTGCTGTGCATATAGGATTTATATTTGATCCATCATGCACTGAATTTGTCTTTGATCTATCCATTAAATGGAAATGAGGAAAATTCTTTAGTATTGCTGCTTTTGTGAGAGGTTGTCACATGGAATTCATATATTAAATTTTACATATTTCCAGTTTAACAATGAATTAACGTCTGTACATTGATGAAAATCATTAGCAGTCATTTCTTTGTCGTTAATAGAAGTTGTCGTAATTTGCCCTTTTTGCACTATAAGAACACAATGTCACTTAACAAAGTTATGTATTGTATATCAGTTTGCCATTCTTAAATATGTATAATTGTTAAAATGTTTTTCTGGTGTCTGGTATAATGATAAAAGCATGAGTTGTGTAGCAAAGAATGTATCTGGTGTCTAAGCATGGTGTTATGCATAAAGATTGAAGAGACTTTAATATGAAATTGCTGTCAAGAGTTGTTTTAAAAATAATGCCCCCACACAAATTCTTTCTCGAGCATATTATCATTGTTTTTTAGGCATCTTGAAATCGGTTTTAATCTATTAAACTATTACTTACATGAAATTTTAGTTACTGACAAGTAACTCATTAATATGTGTAACAGTTTTGATAATTTATTAGTTTACAAAATTATTAAATTATTACAGTAAATTGTCAATGATTTTGACATAGTGTTTTAAAAGTTCAATTTTCTATTCATTCATTTCTTCAGTTTATAAAGAAAAAGCAGAATTTTACTCTAAAATTCCATAACTAGAAATGATTTAACATAGAACAGTATCATACATGTCCACGGGTAATATACTTAGTAAACTTTAAGAATTATAGATTTATTGACAGTCCACACACTCACAGACTTTGTTGACTTGCAGGCAACATGAAAAACTACATGTAATTCACATATTAAAAGATATTTTTGATATATGAATTTGACAGAATTCATGCATCTCTCTGTACCTATCATTCTTGTGATGTAGAACAATATATGCTTTGCAGTATGCTCTTTTTAAATTTGATTTCTTGGAGCTGATACAATGAGCTCTAGAATTTCAAGCATTTTCACAATGAGCTGTGTGAAGGAGATAATTAAACTAGATAAGGTGTTCATTCAGATTTGCAAATCTTTTCACTTGGATAAATGTTGCTCGATACAACAGTTCAAATTGCGTGTTATACATGTTCATATGTAGTTCCTACGTGGACAAATGTTCCCACAAATAACTTGTACTCCCTACATGAAAGATTACACTAAATGTTTACTTAAACACCATTACATATGCATTTAATGATATTTTTTGTGAGCACATGCATATTGAGGATAGCCAAATATACATGCTCTGAGAGTCATGCTTCAGGAATTGGCATGAATAAGAGTTGACAACATAGCAACATAATATTTAGCATTAAGAGGATGTGACAATACCACATTCTAATTGTTGAAAGATTCTAGTGATGGTAAATATGTCCTTTAGGCCACACGATTGACATTCAGGAATTGCATACAATTCACAAGTTGTTTGTAGAAGCATGTATTAAAGAATAAATTTATAACATTAAAATGTCATTTATGCCTTGGTAAAGTGCTATAATATCTGTATGTATTTTATTTTCTTTTAACAATTAAATGAGGCTACAAATTTTGGGATATTTGTCCACATTTTATTTAGTTTCTACCTTTATTTTTTAAACTATGCTTTCCCAAACAAGATAATTTATAGACTAAGCTGCTTCCACTGATAATTTTAGTGTTGTTATTTATTAATGTGCTATAACAAAAGTTTGCATACTTCAATTAATTATATTTTACATATTTATAGATTTAATAATCTTAATCAAAGCAAATTAATTCAATTATATTTTAAGCATAATAAATAAATATATTTAATTTTAATTATCAGCATTTCTCTAATGTAATGATCTGAAATTTAACTGTAAGTTTTTTTCTTTTTCCTCTTACCTGGATGTATGGTAAGTTAACATGATGTTCTTAGTCTTTCAGCAATCCAGTATGTTTGATTTATATTAATTTAATTAAAAATAATTCCTGAAATATCAATTATCTTTAGCTTGGCATGCTTTAGAATGATGTTAGATAAATATTCTTAATGGCATATCGACATTTCCTGAGCAACTGCATCGTGACCTGTTATGGGTTATGAGCTAAATTATATTTGATATATCACCACGATCTTTTGATATACTAAATTTTGGTTCTGGGCCAAAGTATGTGATTTAGGAATTGCATTTATTAATGATATATTATCAACCTTTGATGTGACCCACCGGTGAATAAAAGCATTGAACACCTGTAATTTGTCTCAAGTTTGTGCTCGACTAATGTGCCGGTTGCAAGAGTTTTCTAGTTACCTTCACATGCTTGTCATCTAAATACAGGCCAGTTTCCCCATAGGAAGACTTCATTATCTCATCAAACAAAGTTTAATTGATGAAGGTCCCAAGAACTGATGTTATGACAGACTTCTCGGAACCGGTATTTAGTATATTGTCAAAGATTGTTGTGATAAGCTTTGGTTCCCTAGTAAAATGTGTTGTCATCTCTGATTGGTTGTTATATCATGACTTTTTTTAATACAGTAAACATTGACCCAACTAAAAAATTTGGGAAGTGCCGATATAAACAGTAAAAATGTTAAATTTAAGTGTTATTAATCACTATTCACTAGTTTTAAGAATTAGTTTTTACAAGAGGAATTTAAATATAAATGTACAATGCTTTAATTATATTCATAATTTAACACAATACAAAAATGATTATAGTGGAATTTTGTTTTATGTTTAACTATATTCATATTAATGCTAAAATTCTCGTACACCATGCAGTTCATAATTCTGTAATTTCACTTCATTCGTACACACATTTATGCTAGATGTATTGAAAAATAGAGAATGAAGGAACTTGGATAGAGAACTGTGGTTGTCGTTAGTTTCATTAATTTGATCAGAGGGACAAACAGGTGGTCTGTTACCTTGGTTTTTTTACCTGTAATGATAATGCTTACTCTTATGGTGCTTGTGAGGTATGGGTCTATATTGATGACGACATTACTCCTGAATTAAACAGGAACTACGATGTCATAATGGCAAGTAGTAATTTGATCCACAATGTAAATTTTTGTGCAGATGAACTCAAAAATTTTGTTAACATTCATTGCATATGTGCAGTTTTCTTATGTATTTTGTCATCTGCCTAAATTTGATTCACTGTTTGCATGTACTCGGCTAGATCCAAGGTCTAGCTAAGAGCCCTTGGATCCACTTTGGATGTTATTTACATTGTATTTGTCTTACTACTGTTAATAAAAGGCCCTTATTAATTAGTCAGTTATATTTTTATTTTGATTTAGCCTCCTCCTGGATTTGCCACAAGATGTACTGTACTTGCAACAATAATTACCTATTTATTTTTTTTTGTTTTAATTATCTATTAATTTTAATAATTAATTTAATAATGTCAATAATTATCTATTTATTTTGTTGAAATTTGTGAAATTAACTGGGACACGCTATACAAATTTTCACAGTTCTTGATTTTTTTGTGTATACTAACATTATCACCCAAATGTTTGCTAGTAATTGAACATTTATATATAGTACATTGCCTTTCAAAGCTTATAAATCTGATAATGGGTCTCCTCAATTTTAAAACTTGGTGTTTGTTCTTTGTCGCCTTAACAGAACTTCTAGTCTAGTTGTATTAATCTATCTCAAACTTTCAGATTCTTCCTTGCTAAATGTAGAATGTATTGTAGATTTGAGTAGTTTGGAAAGTTATATTTTGGAAAATGTCAATCTTGTTGTGTTATCATAATTGATTATGGTATTTTATTTCAAAATGAAAATGTTTAATTGATAAAATTTACATCTAGTTCTGTGCATACTATAGGATGGTACACAAAGTAAACCCATTTAGCAGTTTAATGGAAACATACACAATTTGATAACAAACACAGACGCCAACTGCTAGTATCACCCCCCCCAAAAGAAAGGAACTGGCCTCGGCATGGCAGGGGTACCTAGTGACAAGAGGCGGCAGGTTAGAGGATCTGAAGATCCCACTTTGGTCTCTGCCATTGATTGACCTCGGCCAAAGTTGGGTTTGCAGCCTGTTGCTGAAAGGGCCGAGGAGATCATTGATCTAGTCTCAGACTCGTGCCCTGAAGATGCTGACAAGATTGTCTCAGAGAAAGAGGAAGTAGTGGTCAACCACTAGGCGGCCACTTGTAGTAAGCGACTAATGCACAGACAAGTGTGCATGGAAGAGGGTGTGGTTTCAGCTGCCTCTACTCCTGGGGAAGTGGTGATCCCCAGTGTCGTCCTCCTGTTCTTCTCAAGAATGTTCAACCATAGCTGGGGACAAGGTAGCAAGGGCTTCAAGGACGGAAGGCACTCCCCAAGATGTTGAAGTCGAGAATCCCTGTACAGAACCAGGGCCAATGAAGAGAGAGACCCTTCTTCTGTCAAAAGGCAAGAAGGGACTTCCACGGTGCACTACCAATGATCAGAACTGAGCAAGAAGATTGAGAGCATCTTAGAGGCACTGGCAGCTCTACTAGGCAGGACCAACAACCACTGTCAAAAGATTGTAGGTTCTGCCATCCAGCACCTTTTCAACAACATGACCTCACTAGTCCTGGGACAGAGTCCAAACTCAGCACTCTACAGACTGAAGTCAGAACCCTTTGATTAAGGGAGGTGGCATGTCCCACCAACCAATCAATATAGAGCAGTAGACAAAAGTCTTGTGACAGCGAAAAAGAACCTATGCAAAGGTTGCAATTGGGCCCCTAAGTCGAAGCAGGAGTCTTCTCTATCCTTGACAGAGCACATTTTCCTCATGTACCTGAAGGATGTGAAGGAGCATAGCAATGTGGTCTGATACCATGTAAGGATATCAACCCTGCCAAGTTGAAGGTAGGAGTGAAGAACATCTGCTGGGTTAGGAGGAATGGAGTCCTTATTGAGGAGGTCTACCAAAGGGACATCCAAGTACTCCAAAACAAGTTGATGGAAAGGTGCTGAATGAGGCAGTTGTCTGTTGACTGCCAAAGAAGCGCTGTCCAGGAGTGATTATTTTGCGATGTCCAAGAGGACATTAGTAAAGATAAACTAGCAGACAGTTTTTTATAAAATTCTTGATATCAAGCTAAATTTAATGCTCACAATGCAAGGTTGTAATGTAGTACAAAGCAGAGAATTCCATCTATGAATGCATCTGCATCGCCTTAATACAGGATGGCGAATAAAAGTAGCTCTGGTCTGGTCGAGTCCCTGGCACTAGCAAATTGTAAGGTGTTAGCAAATTACATCAATTGAGTAAACATTAATATCTTGTTATGTGCAAATCCATACACAGGGAACTAAAGATATCAGCTACACAATCACTATGTCCATTGATGTCGCTATGTTACACAGAGTGTTGCTAAACACAATATGATGTGTACAACTGAGTATAGGTGCAACAGATGACCGCTTTCACCATTTTCTATGATGGTGACACACTAATAACAACTCTAAGTAATTTGCCTCTGCTCTGCCAAGATGACACTACAGAGTACAAAAGAGAGTATCTTAATCATACAGTCAGGCACCCAGTAGTCACTGAGGTGTCTGAATGATTAAAATCAGACCAAGTTATATACTCGGGCTCTGGCAGTACAACCAAATGGGGACCAGCCTTACTCACCTTGAGTCCAACTGTCTAATGCTGACATATAGTTTTGTACAGCTGTAAGCTGTTTCACATGCACTCAACCAAGAACTGATTGATGCTAACTTGTTGGGCTGCAGGATCCCTTCCCCAAAAGGCCCACACAACGTGTAGCTGAGCTATAGGTCTAAAGACCTCTTTACGATGTTCCATCAAATCCTTTTAGTCTCATGAGCATTGCGCTTCTGTTGTGGGCCAGGTAGGTTCTAGCCCTTAAATAGCCTTATCTTCATTGGCCATATATATTAATATTTGGTGGTGCCCAAAGTCCCAACTTTAAATGGGCAGGGGGCTCTAAGTTAGCCTTGCTTGGTTTAGATACAAAGCATCAGGTCAGAGACCTACTGTTGTGTGTTCCGTCAATTCCTTTTTTTTAATAGTAATTCCTTTTTGTTTCAAGCCAACTTCAGTTGGTTACCGGCCATAGTCGGTACGAGACCAGACCACAGCTAGTTCCTTCAAGTAAGAGGGGCAGCTGACACTCAGACAGGAGTGGTTCATCTCCAGCTGCAGATCAAACTTTTTGTTGGCTTTGCAACAGTTGTTGCATTTCAGCAGCATTGTTTTGTACTCTTTGTGAGAGTGCACCATCCAACAATGGCTACAAGTTGGGGCCCCACCCTGCAATTACGGGTGATATGGCCAAATGCATAGCAGCTGTAACACCAAGTCAGGGCAAGATGTTTCCAGACCTGATTCCTGGTTCACCCAACATGGACCTTGCCCCTTTCAGGGAGCCATTACCTCACAGACCCAATTAAGGAGGCCTCCTTTCCCTTTAAGGGAAAACTTGGGCTTCAGGTTGTCAGCCTTCATGTCCAAGTCATAGAAATATAAAGCAAGCTTTGATAATGGATTTTATTGAGATTGGACCATCAACATCCCTCAAATAAACAATAGTCCTTATTAAATTTGGTCAAATGGCTATGCCCAAGATTAGATTTTTAAGTTCAAATCCCAAGACATTTACCATATTTTTTACAGTACTCCAAAAACTATGCAAACAATGATAACTTTTACACTCATAAATTTATTTACAAGTTTAAAATTCCAATTTTTGAGCCTCAATTTCTAAATTAATTACTACTAAAACTGGAATTAGAGGCATACCTCTGTAACTTATTGAAGTGAAAATTGGCGTAGACAGAGTGTCAGAATGGGGCACATAGCCAGAGATCATCTCAGTTGATGTAACGAATGATATATCTTGTTCTCTACTGACTGTCTTAACTCTTTCAAGAAGGTCAATGCCAAAGGTGGATCCTATTTACTACCATTTTCTATTTCAGATTTTTTTGGGGATCAATTCCTGTAAATAAACTGATGTATGGATTTATTTATTCTCTAGCTTCTTCACTGATAGGAAATAGTCCATATTTTGGTGAGTGTTGATGAGGTTTGACATAAAACTGTTCTTAAATATTCAAATAACTTTATTTCTTTAAAATGAGAATTAACAATGTGTTTCAAATACCAAAATCTGCTCAAAATTACGCACAAAATTAATAATAATCTCATATTACTCTAACAGAAATTCACGTGTTTATAAAGTTTAAGTTTTTTGTTTTTTCATTACTCTTTGTATCTTGTGGGCACTAAGAGGGCATTTTATATCAAGCCTGCCTCAAATTTAGCTAGGCTGCAATGATGTGGTCAGGTGGCGAGGGATGGGCCCAATGTATCCAGGACAGACTGATTGTTTAAAAATTCCCAGTATTTTTGACTTGTTAGAATTTGTTCCTTTGATTTTGCCCGACACCTTAACCACTCAGCTATCCAGCTGTAGAATTTATAAGAGAAACCAATAGTATCTAGTGCATGAATTTAGAGTAGTAAGAATATATAAAAATGTAGGTTATGCTTAATTTATATGATTGATTCTCAATTCAGAACTAATCGAAAGTCATTCTGAGTGGAACAGAAAAGTAACAAATTGCCATTTGATGTTGCAAATTGGACATCTTGGGTGTGTGTTTGTGTATGAAGTAAATTGAACTAATGTAAATAAAATTCATCCAGTTTGTAACATTGATTGCCAATACTTTTATCTTGGAAACTTAATACTGTATTGTGTTATTGTATTTTCTGATTAATTTTATAATTACAATTATGTAATGCTTGCAATTTTATGATAGTATTATAATAAGTCACATTATATTTAAATGAATAACTATGGCTTTTAAGAAATATTTCCCATTTAATCGAGAATCAACTGTGTGGTAATCAGTTATAAAGCCTCTTGGTTATAAAACTTACCAGTTTAAGGTTACTGTTAGATTTATTATTTTTTCCTTAGACATATTCATTTGCTTGCCCATTAAAGGGCAAATAGTATTTTAGTTGCTATACAAAGGCAGCTTTTAGGAATAACCTTTATTTGGTAAGTAGCATTTTGTGTGGTGTCATAAATAATTTCTAACTTGCAATTTATTATTTTTGTGTAATTTTGATAAAACAACAAATTAATACTCTTAAATTATATTTAATTCTTATTTCAGGTACCGGTGATTCTTACATACATGGCACAGATATCGGTGACGACGATGTATTTATGGTAAGTACCTGTCAATAGAAGTCTTTTTTTATGTTTAAAATTTAGATTTGTATGTACATATACACACAATACAATGATAAAACTTGTATTAATACTATAGATAGTCTTGAAATATCATAATTGTCATCATTCCTAGTCCCGTTCATTATTTTGGCCTTGTACTTGAGCAATTTCGCTGTACAATTTAAACACTTTCATCGCTGCAGCCTAAATAAACATGCATTTAAATTGTGCATGATGGTGCACTTGAGCTAGCTATACATTTTTATTGTGCAAATTGGACAAAGAGCAATTACACAATGCAAATTGGCAACATGAGAACATCTTTACACAGATATCATTTGCTACAAAACAATTTGGCAGATAAACAACACCCAAGAAATTAAGTAATTCAGCACTTTCCTAAAATTTTTGATTAAAAAAAGAAAAAGATGAAAGTATAAAAATAATAATAATAATGCTTCGTTTTTTTTTTTTTTTCAATGAAGAATAGGTATGTCACTAAGACGATTGAGTCGTCATCATCCATCTTTGATTTATTTTTCTTTTGTTTTTGCCAGATAGCAAATGAATGACGTAGTGGATATCAACAGTGCAAACAATATAATTAAACAACTTCCATGCAAATTGTTTGATTATATGCTAGCTTGGCAGAATGAAATAGATTAGCTAGGTATCCACACAAATGATTGTTTGTGTGGATACCTATTGTGATGCTGTTGTGTTACTTAAATCTCTTTTAAACTCTAATAAACTTCCTAATTTTCCTTATTAACTTTGTGAGAAGAGATACAGGATAACTATGTATTCTGATTGTATAAACCTGTAGTTTAGACTTTTTGTGACATATCCCTTCAAGTTATTTTAAACAAGCATCTAAGAATATTCATCATTTACATTTTTTTTTATTCTCTAACATTCTGATATATGAAATACTTGATTTAATTTATCTTGTAAAATTAATCCTTTGTAAACACAAACCTCTAACCTGTCTCCAGTTCTGTCTTCCCAAATTGATTCTATTTGTTGTATCCAAGTGAAAGGCTTAGTTTACATATATATGATTCTAAATATATTAATCTTATTTGTCTTTCTGACTACTGTATTTTGAAACTGTTCTTTCTGACAGTTACACTTGAATTCAGAATGGTTCCTACTAATTTTTAATCTGTAATTTGTCCCTGATCATTTCCAGTTCTCTCAACTTCTGTTTTCAGTAATGGAAACCAAGTCACCCCATGCATCTCTTCTCTGGCTTCTCTGGCTGCATTCTACAATAAATTGTGTAGGTATCAAACAAATATGTATTAAAAAGTAAAATTATTCCACACAAGTTTAACATTATGATCTCTGATGTTCATATCGAACTGTCTTCCTATTGCGTAGTTGCTACTATAAAATTCTTTGATCATTTCCCACAGCATTTATATGCAGTTTTTTTCATAAATAGTATAAAAGTGTTTCAATAGCTCTTACCAAAGTTTTGGATAAAGTTATGAGTTCACTTCAAAAGAAAATGCATCTGAGATGGCCATTTACAAGACAAATTTTCCTAATAGTGTAAGTAAAATATAATTTGGAGTTAATTTGGCTTGTGTAACAGCTCTGTAAATAATAAATCTTTAACAATACACTCATAAAATTAAAGAAGCCAGAAGACTCTTAGAAAGTTAGACATTTTCAGAAACTTATCAGTTCCTGCACATGGAACGTAACTGTTGTTTTTTGTAATTAATGACTATACTTGCATTTGAGTGGATTCATAAGAAAATTCATAGGTAGTGGATTCATAAGAAAATTAAAAGGGGGATAAATCAATATTTGAAATATTAATAAGGATTTTGTTGTTAATAAGTGATTATATTGCAGACTTTCTGACAGATTTTGACAAATTTTATATTTCACATTATAAATGTTTTTAAAAACAATGTTTTGAAGTTTACACAAATAATTTTTGTCAATGTGGTGGGTTTAAGTCCCCATAGCCCTCTCAGATTGACTCATTTGCATCGTTACTTAGTCACCAACTTTCAATTGAGTTGGTGTGATAATAGTGCTGTTCTATTTCATCTTGTTCTTTCACACTTCAAATATTACTTTATTTCATAAATTTTTAACAAACCTCTGATAGTATATTTCTATATTTTTCTATGTCGATTTAATTTGTTGTTTTCTGAGGTATTCTATCATCATCCATTTTCTTTACATGTTCTTGTTTATTCTATTTGGTATAGTGGGCTTTGTTGTTGCATTCTCTTTTTAATTGATCTAGATTTTCCTAGGATACTTCTAAAAATTTCATTTGTTGCTTACATTTTACTGGTACCATTAGCCATCTTCATCCAAGTTCATTAGTCATCTTCATCATAAGTAATGTGTATGTAAGTAATACTACACATTTTTATGCTACAGTTAACTGCATTCAAAGTCCTTTATTGTGTTATAGAAATTTTCACATTGATGTATTCTTTTACTGATTTCATTGTTTTGCTATTTTTAAAGATTGGAAGAGCAGGTGAGCTCATGGGTCATATCTGCAGGGTTCCTATGCACCTGGAAAGTCAGGGAATTTGTGAAATTGTCAAAAAGTCGGGAATTTGTCTCCTTAACTGCATTATTGATCTCGTTTGCTGAATATGGATGACCAATCATAGTCATCTGCAGAAGTAATGCTGCAATCTTTAATAAGAAAATACACCAGAATCCATTTTGAAATGGTTTTTTTCATCGTTCTGAAGCCATATAATTTTACAGTTGTGGATAAACTACTTTTATGTAATAGTGTTTAATTTTTAATTTTAATAATTCAGCGATTATAAAAACATGAAATTGTTTATTAGAATAAAAATTAACTAATTAAAAATATGTTTGCAAACTTTTAAAAGTTGAAATCGTAATTTATTAGAATGTTCACTTCAAAATAGCTAAATAGATCAGTAAAAATCTGTAATTTAATCGTTTTTCACGTTTAAAACATTACTACACAACATAAAAAATTATAAATAGTTACCCGATGTTTACAATAAAATACTGGCGCTGACTTGTTGTTGGCACAAGCTTTTTATATTGTTGTTACGATTTTCTTTGAATGTACTGTACTGCAAGCATATTTTTTCCCCTCTCTTCCATTTTTTTTTACAACTTCGATACATAATTTAATAATTAGTTTAACTGAAATGATGTTGGGTAACAAATATCACCGATTTTGGCAAATTTAGGGCTTGATCATACTTGTTAATTATTGATCATACTTGTAATAAATATTCTGTAGTTATATTTTCGAAAATCAACAGGTAATTCGATAGTTTAACCAATGTTAACTTGCTTATAATTAAAATTTAAAAATTAATTAAATTATTAAAAAATTAAAATAAATTTGATTATCTTTTGTGCGAAACAACACCAAAACAATTTTTATAGTTATGTTGCAAAAGAAAGAGATTTGTAGTATGATTCTCTGCACTGAACTTCTATGTTTTAATGACGTATAATTGTAATTTCGTTTGTTGTTTATTTCTGTATTTATAAGTTTTAAGAATCCCAATTTTCGTAATAATATGATGTCATAGGAATACAATGTGAGGTTCCGGAATTGTCCGGAACTAAAATAAAAAAACGTAAAATAATTTAATTATTAGAGAAAAAAAGGAATGAACAGAAATTTTTTATAGAAACTTGAGGAATAGTCTAGACCCGTGTTTCTCAATCGCTGGTCCGCAACTCTAATCTGACCGGTCTGCAAAAACTTTAAAAATATGTATTTAACCTGTCACGCATTTTTCCTGAATAGGAAATATGTGGATTATTAATCCGTTTATTGATAGCAAACTAATAGATTGAACGACTTTGAATATGAAAAACTAATCGAATTAAGTTCAGACTTGGGATTTAAAACATTGTTTGAATCAATGCCCATAACACAGTATTGGATTAAAGTTAAATCTGAGTATCCAATTTTACATGAAAAGGCAGTTAAGATGTTACTACCTTTTTCACCACATACTTATGTGAATCAACGTTTTCAGCAGTGGTAATGATAAAATCGAAACGACGAAATCGTTATAGTGTTAGTTCTGCCTTACGCCTTATAGTTACCACCTTAAATCCAAGAATTGATGATCTTACTAGCAAAAAAGAAAAGCAGTGATCACATTGATTTGTATACTAATGTACTAGTAAATAAAATAACAAATATTTATTGCTCAATGTAGTTTGCAGTTCTTTTTACAACAGAGAATTTTTTTCAATTAAAAATAATATTGTCACCTGTCCGCTTAAAAAAAAGCAGATATTTTCTGGTCCGCTATGAGTTTTGGGTTGAGAAACACTGGTCTAGACCATCCTTTCTCAAAGTGGGCGATAACGCCCCTTTGCGGGTGCTGGAGGCTTTCAGGAAGGCAGTAGAAGGCTCAGTGATTAAATATGAGTTTTATTTCTTCTCATCAAAATATTCTTAGCTCTCAGAAATAGGATATGGGTCACATCCTATCTATCCTATCCATATAATAATGCATGTTTAAACATTATATTTGCAATAACTGTTTTTAAAATATGCAACAGATGGTAATGTAAAAAGGTTAAGTTAAAATATCTAGTGCCCCCATATTTTTTTTTATCTCAAAGTGGGCAGTGGTCGAAATAAGTTTGAGAACCTGTGGTCTAGACAATGCAGCTCCCAAGATCGATCATTTGGATTGGAGTCAGATTTTCCATTGTTTGAAATGAAAATAAATACACTTGAGGAGAAAAGGCTAAAACTACATTAATATAATAGTTTTTGTGTTTTGTGAATTGTAATTCATTTTTTATTTTCTAATTATCTGTATTTTGAAAAAAGAGAATTAATACTAAGAAGTTACTCCGTATTTTGATTGTCCATTTTGTAAAAAAATAAAGATTTTACAATAAATTAGATGCATTTGTTAGAGAAGCTATAGTATAAACTTACTCCTATTCCTCTTTATGTACAATCATTGATTTTTTTACGTAGGAAAAATGCTTTATTTAAAAATTTCTAAATTTAACTTTTTGTTAAAATTACATTGCTGTTTAAAAAAAGTTACTCTTTTTGTTGAAAGATAGAAACACACAATTTTAAAATCAAAGTCAAGAGTTCATTTTAAGCATAGTACACAACACAGTACAGTACACAGCAACAAACAGTATTTGTTTATCAAAGAATACTGTTTGCTGATTTTTTGCTACCTTGTATTTACTAGATTTACATACAAATAATAATGATAAATGATGATAAAATAAAAAGCTTGTGTTTTGTTTGTAAATTGCTTATTTTTTCATTACATTGAAGTTGTGGATTCTATCAAACATTTTTCTACAGGATGTATGTACTGTATTTTTTTAATGTGGCAGTCTTTGAATCATATCAACTGTGCAAAAAGAGGGCTAGATGTACTCAATTTTAACTGTAATGCTGTTTTATTATGTCGATATTCCACACTAAAAAATGTGAGGGTCGGGGAATTTGGACAAGGTTGGTCAGGGAATTCAAAGCAAAAATTTGAGTAGGAACCCTGTATCTGGATGGGATAAAACTTAATGCAAATTTTATTTGTGAGTTTAAGCTCTTTTGAAATGAAGATTGTTATAAAATTCCAAAATGGCACCCAAAATTTTAAATTAGAAACTTGCATATTTCTTTTTCATACATTTAAAGCTCTATTTTTGTCACTGTATAACACAGAGCAGTTATTACAAGTAAGGAATACTTCCTTTGTTTTTATTTTCATTGCTTTTCTGTTATTTTATTCATTGGTATTTTGAAAAGTAGGATAGGCCATCACCATATCTTACTACTACTACTACTACTACTACTACTACTACTACTACTACTATTATAGAATTTCAAGTAATTCTATTTTTCTGAGATAGTTTTAACATTTTTAATTTTATGGTACATACAATTTATTTTCTTTTTACATTGGTGCTATTCAACTTATGGTCTGTGGATGGTTTACTGGGCCACAAACAATTTCATTTAAAATTGTGATTTCGTATCAGTTTTTTAAAAACATTCATTTTTCTCTATTATTTAAAGTAAAGTAATAAACACTTAGTATCAGAGTGACCTGGTGATAGAAATTGGCCTAGGAAATTACTTGAAATCATCCCAGAAACCCATTATTTTTAAGATGATTTGAACCAAATTTTGTTGTTGTATTTTAATAGTTCAATCTAAATGTTAAAATTAAAAAAATGATTTGAAACCCATTCTTTCTGTTTTATAATTAATTTCATAAAATACTAGTCTGTGAACACAGTTTGAGAAGCACTATTCTACATCATTTGTGTTTTCTTTTTTTCTAAGTTTCTTCTCTACTTACATTGTCAAAGTCTTGGCATCACTACAATTCATTCCCCTAATGATCAACAATTGTCTTGATATAAATATAGCCGTACTGGTTACTTGCTCTTTTGAATCTGAGTTAATGTGATTCCTCTGATTTTTTTTTTTTTAATCTTTCAACCACTTGTATGACTTGGTGTTATTTCCATATCCACCTTTGACATTCTAAGTAGCCAATGTGTTTCTGTAGTATCTGCATTTTTTATTAAATTCCACAGATTTCTTGACACTGAGTTTTGTTTTTTCTTGTTTTTCTTAATATCTTGCTTTTTATTATTATTATTAGGATGCTATTTGTCTGCTATTGAATTCAATATTATATCAAAGTACTTTACGTATTCTTCATTGTCATGTTCATAATTGACTTGTGAAAATTTGTTCCTTTCTCAATAGTTTGTTCTTTATAATACTGGACAGCAGTCTTCTTTCTACAGAAACATTTGAACAAATAAAGTTTTTCTTTCTTCAATTCATAGACTAGAATGAATTATTATTCAAACCTACTGTCATTTCATCCAATTTCAAATGCGTTTTTTAATTTATGCACACATTTTCTTGTGTCCTTCTGTGGAATTTCCTTTCTCTTCATCGTTTAATCAATTTTTTTTGTTTTTACTTGATCTGCTTCCTTTTTCTGTCTCCCAGTTTTATTATTGTCAACTAGATGTACAGTAATTATCATCTAACAATACAGAGAACAATCTATTTTTATTCTTCAATGTTCTCTTACAAACTATGATACAATTAATATATATTTTTGTTTACACTTTTTCAATCATATTTAATAATTTCGAATTTATTTGCTTCTTTTAGTGGTACTTGCAACACACATTAAGTAGGCTATTTCTTTTGTAAGTTGTATCTGTAGATAATTTGTTCTTCAAATTAAGTGTTGCTCTCTAGGATTTCTTAAATTTCTGCTTCTTTAACTTGTGAAATCCTGCCTAAAATGCATTTATCAATTACATCTGCTGTATTCTATCCTCATCTTGATTGCAATTCTATCCACCTAGGGCCAAAAGATTGCTTCGAATAGAAAGGAATGGTTGGATCTAAATATTAAACATTGTTCCCATTCCACTCTTGTGCTAGTTACTCTCTCAAATGACTATTACTTTATTGTAACAGGTTATTTATGGCTTGATATATTATTGTTTTGAATGATTTATTATGCATGTTCTATTGATCCTCTGTCATGTTGCACCCACCCGTTAACTGTATGAGGGTACATGGCTTAATTATGGGATATGTTCTGAAAAATATGTCAAGTGAATGTCATAGAATGTACTTAGACAAATCTATACTATAGTCTACTGTTTATATAAACATCTATATGTAACACATGATTAGCTGTGCTGTGGGTTTGTTTATGCATTAATGCATTGTATGATGTCACCATTGTCATATATGTTGTTAAGGCAGCTAGCGATTTCTCATTTCCATTGTAATTGGGAATGCTGTCATTAAGCAGAACATTAATTAAGTAGCACATGCCTGTACTCTGTTTCTTGTAGATATTAAAATCTAATTACAAAATAAAATGTCAGATTGTTATAACAGCTTATAACAATCTGTTTTGAAAACTTATTATTTTTAATAAATTTTATAAAATTCGTGGTCATATTTAATGATAACTTTAATTGCAGACTCTAGAACTGCCAGTGGATTCTCGCTCTTCGTCTGGTTCCAGTAATGTGAGTGGCAACGGAGCTTCGGCCGTAAGGCCTGCTTCTACCAACAACACCGAAGCGTTTTCTTCCCCATATACTCATCCTCATGCTAATCATCATCATCTGCATCGAATGCATTTCATTCGGCCTCCTCGAACAATTAACAATAGTGGATTAATTGGTGGAAACGGTGGCCAGGTAATAGACCTCCAGCAGAAAACACAAGAAGACATATGGATCAAAGAGAAATCTCCAAGCCCTAAGAACAATATGAAAGATCAGGGTATTCTTGATGATAAAATAGAAATTATTCCCGGAGAGCCTTATTCTTATGTTCAGTTTGCTAAAGACAAGCCGCGAACGGAACATGAGTATTCCTACCCAATAATGGACTCTCTGAAATCGGGTAAGAGAGATTCGATAGGTAACATTAAGAAACATCAGTTACCTGCAATAGGCACTCAACCTCCGTTACTGCCAACAAAGACAAAGAGGAAGAAGGAGAACAAAAAAGACACTTGTAAGCATTCTCCTCTAACTCGGGTCCAGTGTCGCCACTGCCACGACATGTTTAATGAAGACGAAAACAGGAGAGGTAGCTGCGAGTATGCTCCAGATAAAGTACTGGCGTGCATAAGTGCCACTACCTGTATATCCTGTGCCCAGTGTATGTTATATCACTGCATGTCCGACACGGAAGGAGATTTTAACCACCATCCCTGTTCTTGTGACACTACCGATGAACATTGCCAGCGAAGATGGATAGGCCTGGCACTTCTCTCGTTTTTCGTACCCTGCCTTTGGTGCTATATACCATTTCGCGCGTGTCATCGATGTGGTGTAAGCAGTGGCCTTTGTGGAGGAAGACACGAAGCCGTTTGACCCTTTGCCCTTAGTAATCTGGTCACTAAGAGAAACGGATGGATGTAAACTCAACACATTTCTCCACTGCCGCCTCCTTCAGGAATGGAGCAGCAAAACTGCTGCCATCCAGAGTCAAAACAAAACAAAAAAAAAAAAACAAAAATAAAACAAACATGCTCTACCCACCTTGGACTGTAATCCAAGCAACACAGGTTTAAAAATTGTTTAATTCTCCAACACAGTCTATAAAGAGAATGCCAATTCATACAGTTCTACACTCCCAGGAAACAGAGGAAATCACTCGAAGAGACGGCATAGTCACATGGCTGTTTGGTTAATTGTTATATTGGAAATTACCAATTGTAATTATGATATTAATTACTTCTAAATGTTAAATATCAGCCTGCTTTAGAACTATTTCAGTTCTTTACAAGAGAGAAAACACAGAGAATATTTTCCTTAGCTGCCAGGTTTGGAATTTTAAGTTATTGTTGTTGTAGTCTGAGTAAAAACCTTATTTTTGAGTCTTCCAAAGCTACCATTAGAATAATTTTAAGAGCCTTTAATTTAAGATTAATTTGGATGTTATTTAGACCCAAGTTCATAGAAATCCATTACGTCATATGTCCTCCAAAACAAGAAAAATTTTGTTAAAATGTTCGCAATCACTCTCAATTGGTTCTAATTTAATATATGTAGAAACAGGACAATTAGTGTTCTTTGTCTACATATAAATATATAAAACTCTGAGAATATTTTTTATATCTTAGTACTAGAGTTTAGATATACAAACTGCCATAAGACAGGTGGCAAAATAAAACATAACCGTGCCAAGAACATGGAAGTATTGATGCTATTGGGTTGAGAAGTTTGTTTTACAATAGTGTTGGAGGTGCAGGATGTAAATAAATTTAAGTTTACAGTCAAAATTAATGTGTAATATACCCATTTACAGTCAGGAGAATCCTTAAACTTAATTTGGTGTGTAAAATATTGATCTTTTTTTAAATTTTTAATCAAATTTTTAAGTGAAAATTAAAAACAAAAACAACTTCGGTCCTTAGCCAGATCGGTCACAATTTTGGTTTTTGCATCCGAGGAGTGCCAACGTCGAAGTTGTCGGGTCTTCCTTGCATATTTCTTCATTCTTTTTGAAATTCGATCTGTTGTTTATGGAGTGAAGTTTTGTGTTTTTACTTATATTTTTTTATGGAAACAGTTGCATTAATTCAAATGAGAGGGCTCAAGTAAGGGAGAGGGGTCTTCTTGGCATCTTGCAGAACATTACCATTTGAGGACTCCCATGAGAGCTGCGAGCGCGAATGTTGGCACTCGAACTAATTGTTATATAATTACAAAATAATACCTATCCGAAGCACAATTATAGTGTATTTTGATGCCAAATTTTGTACAAGAGTTTATATATATATATATATATATATATATTATATATATATATATAAATATATATCAATGTGGTTATTAATTAATACTAGTGACCACTATCCAATCAAAGTGCTGTGACCATAAAGAATTCAATAGATATTTTTACGAAGTTCTCTCTCTGTCTACATATATATATATATGTATGTATACACACACAAACATATATATGTATATATATATAATTCAATTAACTAAGAGAGACTTTCCTACAATGCATTTAAGTAAATGATCTAAAAAAACCTCCAAAAATTCATCCGAAAACATAAATTAGGTTTCTCTAATCGGTTCCAAAAGCTTGATTTTCCTCTTAACTTTGTTTTTTAATTAGTAAATATGTAAATTATCATCATTCTGTGTTTGTAAATTTTATTGTCGTGTGCCTTATGTGACATTTTTGCGGAGAAAACAGGAGATAAAAACAAAACAAAAGCAAAATTTTCTATAAACCCTGTCTAATTTCAATTTGGATCACGTGTTAATTGTATATTTCTATTTATTGTGAGGTGGTGAGGAATTTCCTTATGTCAGGTTCTGTTTTAAACAATAGATAAGAGGCATAAATATATATATATATTTATAGTCACACGACGAATTATTTTTTTTAGTGTAATTTTTCGAAGTTTAACCGAGTTTTAATTTCAAAAAAAATCGGTTAAATTAGAATTGTATAAAATAAATATATATAGATATATATATTTAAAAAAAAATATTTTATCAAATAGTCACCTCCCTTATCGTTTGAATGTCAAACATATCAAATCTGAAGGAAGTAGCTTCTGGTTTCATCTTAATTTACCTCCTGTTATGTATTGTTTTGATCTCATTTGATTCCAAATAGTCAAAAAAAATCCTTAGATATAGGTGTGGCCGCTTCGAATCGATCCAAATTCCTTCATTTTGCTCCGATTTGCTGCATAAACCGAGCAGAAGAGGAGACTAGATCTGATTTAATACTCATTCGGATGCTCCCTGCCGAATTAAACTGGACAATACTTGGCTAGGAGCGTTGCCCGCTCGATTATACTTGGCTGGGGCGTTACCTAATCGGCAGGTTTTTTGTATTCTAGGCTCTTTGGTGCGCAAATTTTTGATACCACGGTTCACATAATCGATTAAATTGATACTTTGACACATTATCTCGATGAATTGATCAAGGATTTTTCGTTGTTTTTTTTTTTTTTTTAGAAAAAAGACACATGAATGTATATCGGTTTCTCGTCATAGTGAGTAATAGCATAATGTTGGGATGTCAGAAAAAAAATAACAACAATTTGTATCGTGTGTTTTTGTGTTTTATTAGATGTTGACCTTAATATAGAGTCGTTAACAAAGAACGGGGTGAAGATTTATCCCGTTTAATCCATGTCAGAAATAATGAAATATTTTTTAATTCCACATAATTGTATTATACACGCATACACAGTAACGAGTGTTAACCTCTATTATTATTATCATTATTATTATTATTATTATTCTCGGTTCTTTCACTGTATTTTAATTATAATTTATTATCATTAAAAGGAGCAGCTAATATAGGAAGAGGTGTGATTGTAGATCTCAGAACATCAAAAGAAAAAAAACAACACACAACACATGAAAATTTGTTGATTTTATTATGTATTTAGATATGTTACGTTCCCTATTAAAGTGTTGGTTGTATGTAAATCTCATACCTGTTAGGATTCTCGCTCGTTTTTATTGTTGTCATTGTTGAGAATTCATTCTCGAATATTGTTTCCTGTTTCGTTGTCAGAAACTGACGTCAGTTTCTGACAACGTAACGCGAATTTCGCCACGTAACTCCATTCAGTTTCTGAAGAAATGAACGAGTTAATAGATGACGACCATTATTATATATACTGGCAGCTATTCTATCCAATGACGATAACTGTTTCACAGTGTAATATAGTTATGAAACAAGTATATATAAATATATATATATATATATATTAATTGTCTATTCTCATGCTTTATTAATGAAAAAAATGGAGAGAAAAAATGAGTTTTTATCTTATTCAGCTGGATGTGTTTCAGCCACAGTTTCAGTGTTTCAAATGTTTCTGCCGAAACAAAATGTACGAGGCCACACTTATACCCTCCCCAGAGAAAAAGATCTTTAAATGAAAAATTGTCATTATTTCTGTATATTGGTCTGTATCATAGTGTTTATTCTTTACAATCTTTTTGGAAATTCACAATTATCTGTTGGATAAAAAGAAATAAATTGCTTGAACAAATTGTTTCAATTTTTCTTTTTTTTCCTTTTGTGTTGGCACTTGTTTTAAAGTATAATTATACACGTGAACATGTGTAACACGCGATAAAATTACCTTACGTGAAACGTGGCTTCTGAAGCCTAAAATACACAGGTTGGTCTTAGCTTCTCTATTCAGAGCACTAGCCGTAACCAATGAGTTAATTTGTACGAAATTCTGGTGTCATTTTGCTTACTGGGCAGGGCTACAATGTTCTGAATAGTGAAACTAATTATGGCCACTCTATTTCGAAAACTACCATTGCTTTGTATACCACTTGGGAGTATAACAAAATAAATTTTGAAGGAGTATAAACAAAGGAGTTAAAATATCGTAGCTCTTCGTTTCCAAATTCAATCATCTAAGGAGAAGAATACTAAGAAAATGTGAAAATATCCATGTACTGAAAATGAAGCAGAATAGTGACATTACGAACAATAGAGAACTATCATTACACATGCATTAGCTTATTGAAAAATGCTCTCAAGAAAGGTATTTCCATGGTAAAAAAAAAATTAAAAGTTTTCAATTAAAAAAAAGTCTAAAAGTTGAAATATATGTCGACTAGAAGCTCTCACTAACTTTCAACTGGGGTGTCGCGAAATATAGTGCTGAGCAGCGCCATAACACTACTAACGTGTATTACTAAAAAAAGGAAAAGTTTAAATGCCGTTATTAGAAAAAGGTTGAAAAACATTTGCCTTGTTGCTTACCTTCAAAGCTTCAGGTCTTGCTCATGGTTAAAAATGGCATATGAATGGGAAACAGCTGACGGACTGGTCAAAAACATTGTTCTCCCATTTTTATCGGAAATCGGAGGCGTGCAATCTCATAATCCAATGTTACGTGTAATGCACATGAAGTCCAGTCATTTTCGGGTAGAGTGCACGTTTTCGAGTACTGTACATGGGATGGGTTAGGAGTATGGCGTTGGTCCCACGGAAGTGCAGAATGTTTTTCCAAACAGCTTGCTTGCCTAATCATGTGCGCGTTCCTACGTAAATGAGGCTCCTGACTACTGCTAAACCTAAGTATTTAAAGGTAAGTTACTAGGCACATTTTTGATTAAAGCTACTAGTCTCATCAGTGGCCGAATGGATAAAAACCACTGAATGCTGGTTCGTGCCTGACCAATGGGCTAGCCATGTGAGATTTTCTTCACATGACTAACACCTAAATAAGGACATGTAAACGAAAATCAAACTTTATTTTTACAATATGATGATCCAGGATCACAGAATTGACAAAATTAGTTTCTTCTGTCTAAATTGTGGAAACTGGTACGAGAATCGTTCAATTGAATATATTTGAGGAACATTTGCAACTTGTTCTCCTTGCTGACGCAATTGATTTCATATTCCTCCAACATAGAAACTATTTGTTGCGTAATGCGCATCTGCGAAGTCCTGCCAGGAAACATACAGGCCATCCGAGTTACTCAATGGATGGATTGTTACTCAACACTCGTTGAGTAACCATCCATCTTGAGGAATGGGATCAGCCGTTTCTTAATACACTCTTTTATGTAAGTTAAACTTTATTATGCATAAGCGAGAGGGTGCTATGAATGCATCAGATCTTTTGGACTGCTTGCTATCCGAACAAACGCTTTCTCAGGAAATGTGTCGTGTTGAAATTTTATCTGTGAATCAACCTCGACCCAATCCTTACAATTGTACTTGTTCCCAGCACACTCGCATCAATAGCAAAATATAACTCATCGCCCTCGCGCATTTTTGAGTGTAGTCCTTTACAATTTGACTATATACAGTACTGTATATTTAAATATAGGGTTTGACTTTTGCTCCGAAGCACATTTTGTTCACTCCCTGGATATCTAGCAACAGTTCAACACTTTCCAGCCTTTCTAGACTACTACAAGTCATCCAGGGAGGCACCCTCTTGGTAGATCATTCATGTGTTGCGTTTCCTTATTCCATCAGTTCAACCCTTTATTCTTGGTGATTTATGACCTCCAAGAAGAAATAGAAAACAAAAATCTTGGATTTTCCCTTGATCCCTTACCACGGGGCATAGTTTTATTTGGAAAATTCCCGTGAAAACTTATTGTTAAAGGATGCAACAAGTTCTTGAGTATTTAAATTGAAGATGAAAATTTCAAGCGGTGAGAACAATATAAAGTCCTAAGCTGGACAAAGTAAAGATAAAATGTTCAAAAAGAAAGTGAGGAAGTTTGAGGGAATTTCATTAGTTCAAGTGGTGAAGAAGTTCCGTCTTAATTTGCACGCGAGATTATGATAGATTTGTAATAAAATTTGTGATTGATCGGGATGAAAACACTAAAAGGCTACATAAGGAAAAGTTCTAAAAGAGTGGGATGATATATCATCAAGAAGATATCTATTAGCGAAGATATTCCAAATATGTAAATACACTTGAGCAACGACAGGTTATGTTAATATTTGAAGATGGGAAAATATTAACTCCTTGAAGATAATCAGTCAGAGCAGGAAGAGCTGCTCAATTCACACCTGAAACAAAAAGATAAAAACTTGTGATAGATTTTTCTATTGGAATGCGAAGTTATGAATGAATATTTGAAATGATTCAGCCAGTTATGGAGATAGGTCGAACTCTGCCCAGTGATTTACTATTGTACCTGTATTAAACTTAGATGTTAAGCGTTCGAGCAATGAAACTTGAGATGAGGCAATTACTTCAAGTGCTCAAGCTAAAATAAACTTCGATTCCAGATTGCGTGGACTGGATAATTACAAATTGAAATATCCAACAAGAATCAGTTTTTCTTGTTGGATATTTGTACGAAATAAGCCTAAAACGTGCAAGGATCTGCTTAATATAAAATATTTAAATGACAAAATGGGAAGCTGAAGTTTCGGTAAAGTTTTTTGATACAGAGCGGATAGCGTTCTGTATCTTCACCATCAATAATTGGTATTCTTGCTACGTTGTTAAGAAATCGTTATGGAGAATATTGCATTGGATGATATATAAGAAAATACTTGTTGTTATTGCGATAAGCACTTCTCAAAAGGAAAGCTACAGAGGAATTGACAACTAACAAACCTGTCGTACCTGTTTTAATAAATTCTGCTCGTGCGGATCTGGCACATGGCGATTTGTAATAATGTTAATTGATAGCATCAAAATAATTTTGAAACTCAAAGTAAAAACAAATGGACATTTATTAAATTATTTTACTTTACTTCCCATCAAGACTGTTATCAAAAACAAAATATTTCAGTTAAGAATAGAATGAATTGCAAAACTTTTGTTTTTATTAAAATAGCATATATAAAAATGTGATAAATATTCACTTAGATTCTTATTTAATATGATGATATGCAATTTTATTTTACTCCTTTCAGATTCCCGTAAATAAAATAGTCACAGTTTGACTTTTCATTTTGCATTTTCATAAAACAAGGTACATTTTGGATTAAACAGCTGGTGTTTGTAATTTCTAGGCATTAACAATAGAAAAGATATATATATATATATATATATCCTTACTTCACCTTTGTCT